TAAATGACATTTTTATCTTCGATCAACGACCCAGGAAACGTGCATCTTTAACAAAAATTGTTCGAAGCATAAATTTGATACTGCATTTGATTTTCTTTTAGTTATACATTTCCCCACTTCGCAAATTCTACAGTTCAAAATAAATCAAGGAATCGTTAAAAAATTTTAATAGACAATTTTTCCAATCAATAAGCTGAATGCTGGCATAGTAAGCGGCAATCTCCACTTATGACGTCCAGCTCTATACCTTTTAGTTGTCATTTTTGTAGGTCTACTAAACGCTTATTAATTGTATGACTAGTTCATCAATCTTTGAAACTCTTTTACTATGTACAAACCAGATTTCAATACATCTATTTGTGTCAAGCCATGGTTTCCAGCTCCTCTCCCGTATAAACAAGGGTAATACCCTAGTCCACACATCACTGAGTGATAATTTGGGGGTTTCTACCACCCTACCCAGGGCGTAATGTGAGGGCCTGGATTTAAACAATTGTGGGGATACATCTATATAAATATAAATCATTATTGCTTTGATATTCTTTCAAAAATATAAAATTTTCTTTTTTTTTTGCCACCCCTTATGTCATCATATGAACACTGCTCAAGGATGCTTTCATATCAACTGTTGTTTTGTTATTTTTGAAAAAAGACAATTTGTAAAGATTTTTGTTTTGTTAAAGTTTGACCCCCAATTTTGACCCTATTCTACGCCTCCGTGAACTTTCAAAATAAAAATTTTTTTTGACTAGGTAACAGTTCCAAATATTTGATAAACATAGGTAATCAGAGATTACAGAGCTCACCTCAACGAATGTTGTCTTTAAATAAGGCAAAGTCACACAATTAACCAACAAAAAGTGTACATTCCAAAAATGAAAATATCTATAGTAAGTAATTTTGATCTGATACTTTGAAATAGACCAACATAAAAAATTTAAAGTAGTTCTTCTTCATGAAAATGTAATTCAGCATCTGAAGCAAATTTGAGAGTTTTCATTTCTTGATGCAACATTTGTGCAAGTTTGGTTATTACAATGTTAAGCCTTAAAGTTTTTTGGTAATAGACCTGCAACCATAACTTTAACCTGGTCTATTATCTGAAAAATATATGTCAAATTCAGCATCCGAAGCAAGTCCATTAGTGTGCATCCTAAGATGTATCATCAATGCAAGTTTGGTCAACATAGGGCTTATAGTTACTTGGAAATGAAACCTGCACCAAACACTTTAACCTGTTCACTCAACCGGAAAATGTAGGTCAGATTCAGCATCCGAAGCAAGCCTGGTAGTGTGCATCCTTAGATATATCATCCATGCAAGTTTGGTCAACATAGGGCTTAAAGTTACTTGCAAATGAAACCTGCACCAAACACTTTAACCTATTCACTCAACTGGAAAATATAGGTCAGATTCAGCATCCGAAGCAAGCCCGGTAGTATTCAACCTTAGATGTATCATACATGCAAGTTTGGTCAACATAGGGCTCATAGTTACTTGGAAATGAAACCTGCACCAAAAACTTTAACCTGTTCACTCATCCAGAAAATGTAGGTCATATTCAGCATCTGAGGCAAGCCCGGTGGTATCCATCTTTAGATGTATCATCCATGCAAGTTTGGTCAACATAGGGCTTAAAGTTATTTGCAAATGAAACCTGCTTCAAACACTTTAACCTGTTCACTCAACTGGAAAATGTAGGTCAGATTCAGCATCCGAAGCAAGCCCGGTAGTATTCAACCTTAGATGTATCATACATGCAAGTTTGGTCAACAAAGGGCTCATAGTTACGTGGAAATGAAACCTGCACCAAAAGCTTTAACCTGTTCACTCATCCAGAAAATGTAGGTCATATTCAGCATCTGAAGCAAGCCCGGTGATATCCATCTTTAGATGTATCATCCATGCAAGTTTGGTCAACATAGGGCTTATAGTTACTTGGAAATGAAACCTGCTCCAAACACTTTAACCTGTTCACTCAACTGGAAAATGTAGGTCATATTCAGCATCCGAAGCAAGCCCAGTAGTATTCATCCTTAGATGTATCATACATGCAAGTTTGGTCAACATAGGGCTCATAGTTACGTGGAAATGAAACCTGCACCAAAAACTTTAACCTGTTCACTCATCCAGAAAATGTAGGTCAGATTCAGCATCTGAAGCAAGCCTGGTAGTATCCATCCTTAGATGTATCATACATGCAAGTTTGGTCAACATAGGGCTTATAGTTACTTGGAAATGAAACCTGCACCAAAATCTTTAACCTGTTCACTCAACCGGAAAATGTAGGTCAGATTCAGCATCCGAAGCAAGCCTGGTAGTATCCATCTTTAGATGTATCATCCATGCAAGTTTGGTCAACATAGGACTTACAGATACTTGGAAATGAAACCTGGACCAAAAAACTTTAACCTGTTCACTCAATCGGAAAATGTAGGTCAGATTCAGCATCCGAAGCAAGCCCGGTAATATGCATCCTTAGATGTATCATCCATGCAAGTTTGGTCAACATAGGGCTTATAGCTACTTGGAAATGAAACCTACACCAAAAACTGCACCAAAAATGTTAACCTGCTCCAAAAACATTAACCTGGTCATTCCTTTGCTAAAATTGCAGCATCTGAAACACGACTGGTACAATGAAACACACTAGAACCATCTTCCATGCATGTCTAATCAATATAGGACATAGAAGTACTTAAAAATAAAACTGCTCCAAAAAACTTAACCTTAACCCGGGACGCCGACGCCGACACCGACGCCGACGCCGAGGGTATTACATAAGCTCCCCCAACTTCGTTGAGGTGAGCTAAAAAGTATTAGATTCAACATGTTGCAATTTTAAAAAGGTCAAATACATGAAGAATAGATACTGCTATTAAGTTTACATTGATATTGAAAAATGAAACTAAAACTTCATTTAAATGTTCAATGCACACAGTCTGAAAAATAACCTTAAAGATTTGAGAAAATTATCTTATGGGTATTCTGTTATTTAACAAACCCACCCATTTTTAAAGTCTTTCCGAGTGAAATTAGCTTCCATTGTAAACTATGAATGCTAGATAGTGATTTACATTGTGTACCACAAGAAAGTCCTAATTCTTTCCATTTAATATTCATGTTCATTTGTTTGTGACATTGATCTTTTCCAAAATGACCTTTAAAGTTATCAAGTCATAATTTTTCTTTCAGTTCGTATTAAAATGATGTCGTTTTGCATTTTCTATGTATTTTTGTCATAAATACTAGCCTAAGTGTAGATAGAATTTTGCAAGAAAAAACAAACATATGTACACATTGACCACATTGAACCCATTCATTTGTGAAGAGGTGGGTTGTAATAGGTTATTCATATGTAATTACCTTCTTCCAGAAGCCTAGAGTCTTTTGAACATTTATCACGTGTTTTCTCTGAAGTTGGCACTTGCACTGCGTTTCTTCAGCTTTGATTTCGGACAGCTCACTTTCAAGAGTGAAAGATAAATCTTTCTCATTACAAATAATGTTTTGGCATTTGAATCCTTTATGGAAAATGTTTGTGCTAATAAATGTTTCTGTCAACTTTTTTATGGCATTTTGAATAGAGTCTCCGATTTCATTTGATACCTCTCTATCTATAGCCAATGGTCTGATTCGCAACACTTGTAACTGAATGTCATCATTACATATGCCAACAACAACAGTGTGTTCTTTGTGATCAAACACTGCTGCTGTTTGATAAAGACATAGACTTCCTTCATGATCTTCATCTGTTGAAACATTCCATTCCAGAAAACCCATGCAGTACGCTATCAGTCTATAGAACACAAACATGGCAAAAGAAGTTAAATGATAGCACAAAATGGAGGAGCATTCCCATTTATCTTCACAAAAGTTGGCTAGAAACTGCTTTTTGTTCATGCACGGGACATACCATGACATGTCACCTTCTGATACAGCCCCAGAGGATTCCAAAGGTACCAGCATTTGAAGCTTCTCCATGTAAGACATGATTTCACTTTTATGTGTCAAATATAAGGGTTCATCTCTCCATAGTGCATTTACCACTTTAACTTTAAGTTCTCCTGTTTTGTTGAAGGATTTCCAATCTTTGATTAATCTCGTTTTGCAGTCTTTGTTAATGTGGTTTTTATCAGCAATGATCTTACTGAAAGCTTTAGCAAACCACTGAATGTCTAGTACTGCATGTTCACTCAATTTTTCATCTTGAAAATACAAAAGAATGCCATTGTCATGGAAACACTTCAGAAACTTAGACATTTCCTCATCACTTTTAAATTGGCATTCATCAGGAAGGGATGAGTTGAGCCTCCAAATTTCTGCAATGGACAAAACCTTCCACCCTCCATCATACAATAATTGTTCCATTAAAGCCCATGAAGAAGGTATTTCAATTTTTGTATTAAGCTCATCTGTGAATAGTTCAACTATGGACTTTTTCATTGATTCCAGCTTTGTTTTTGTTTCATCATTTAGTTCAACTAGACCCACAGCATAATCACGATCATTCAGAGATTCACTTAACCAAACTCTGTCCTCGTCTGGTACAGCATTCCAGAAGTCTTCAAAGTACTTCTCTATTTCCTGAAGAAGTAAACGAATAGTTTAACAATACGCGAGGCCCGTTAGCTACAAAGCTAACCTAAGTCTCATTGGCCAACGAGTTCTACACTATAATTATGATATTAAAAATATATCTTTATACTTCTAGATACTTCTTATCCCATATCTTGGCTTTACACTAGCTCTAAGCTGTCCACATCGCTCATAATACTAATAAACTTGAATCAACTTTTCCTGAGGATGCCTCTTAATTATTAATAATTTAATTTCACTTGTATCAAGCAATTTCATTGGCTGAATCATTCAGAGGAACATATAATATTTTGTATAAAATAACTTGCCTACGTCACAATGAGTTACATCAAAAACGTATCACTCTGCTTAACGTTACGTTTAAAATAATGCTCAATTTAAAGCCTTTTTTCCGGAGGAAATATTGTCTCATTGTCTACACTGAAATTAAATTATAAGGAATGAAGCTCATTTCAACTTATGTTATCCGATATAACAAAACTTGGGACAGTTTACGCTTTCTTATAAACCGCTTCATTCCTTAATTAATCTGACCAACATGGCCAAGCTGCTCTGCAGAAATAGACATGCACAGAGTGAAAATTGCTCCATAATTCTGGCTTACCTTGCTCATTCTGACACAAGAATACAATCAAATTCAGAATTGTTAATGATGTAAAAAGGGTTGGGGCCTAATTCATATGGGAATTGCTTATTATGATATTGTATCACACAAAAAGATTTTATGATTTTATATTGAAAATCAATCATGGCTTGCTGTTCTTGTGAACATACTGTAAATGTATTATATCTGGCGTGTACGCCATTTGGCGGAAACTGACTTTTGAACAAGTTAACAAAGATTTGATTTAGCGCATTTCTTAATGTTCTTATTTATGAGTATATGTGCAAGACATTTAGCGTTGTACTTGAATTAGCGGAAGTTTCTTTCCGCCAAAGGTGCTAAAAAGAATACACAGCCAAATATAATACGTTTACAGTACTTTGGAAAAAACTGTGTATCACTGTCAATATTCTTGCAATTCCCAGGGACCCCACTATTTTACAAAGACATACATGATATACAGTGTATGCATTGAAAATAATGGCTTACTTTTGGGGTGGTTAACCCCCTCCCCTAAACTTTCAATTTAATTTTTTACCAATGCTTATGTATAGGGAAACAAGAGGTCCATGGGCCACATCACTCACCTTTGAAGCTTTGACCATGCTATTCTAAACAAGATCCCCCCTTGTAATACCTATTGTGACCCCCATCGTACCCCACAGGTCTTATTTTGGAAATTTAAAATCTACACTACCCCAGTAGTTTGCTTCAACAAAAGTTTTAGCTTTTCTGGCCAAGTAGTTCTTGGGAAGATTTTTAAAACTTTTCCCTATATATTTCTAGTATGTAAAACTTTGATTCCCTATTGTGGCCCCACAAAACCCCAGGGGGTCATGATTTCATTGATTGATTGTATACTGTTTAACGTCCCTCTCTAGAATATTTCACTGAAATGGAGACGTCAGCATTGCCGGTGAAGGGCTGCAAATTAAGGTCTATGCTCGGCCCTTACGACCTTTGAGAAGGGAGGGATCTTTATCGTGCCACACCTGCTGTGAAACGGGGCCTTGGTTTATATGGTCTCATCCGAAGGACCGCCCCATTTAGTTGCCTTTTACGACAAGCAAGGGGGGTACTGAGGACCAATTCTAACCCGGATCCCCACAGGGTGTCATAATTTGAACAATTTAGAATCTACACTACCCCAGGATGCTTCCACATTAAGTATCAGCTCTTCTGGCAGTTGTTCTTGAGATTTTTTAAAGATTTTTTCTATATATATCAATGTAAAAATTTGATTCCCTATTGTGGCCCCGCCATAACCCCCGGCGTCATGATTTGAACAATTTAGAATCTACACTACCCCAGGATGCTTCCATATTAAGTATCAGCTTTTCTGGCAGTGGTTCTTGAGATTTTTTAAAGATTTTTTCTATATATATCAATGTAAAAATTTGATTCCCTATTGTGGCCCCACCATAACCCCTGGCGTCATGATTTGAACAATTTAGAATCTTCACTACCTCAGGATGCATACATGTAAACTTCAGCTTTTCTGGCCCAGTGGTTCTTAAGAAGATTTTTAAAAAGATTTTTCCTATATACATGTATTTCTATATACTGTATAGGGGATTAATTTCACGGATTGTAATTTTCACGGTATTCTCTCATCGGACACGATCACGGTTTCTTGAATTCGCGGAATTCTTATGTTATTGAAGTAACCTCCCTTGTCCATACTCGATTAATTCATAGCTACATGTAAACATGTAACACACCGTGGGTGTTAATATTAGTTACGCACGGGTAATCAAAACTCATGGTCCAAGTATTTTGATTGATGAAACATGTAGCGTTGGTTATTGAAAAGCCTTTTAACAAATACAGGTTATTATCTGTTGATTTGAATTAATGTAAAACGTGCTAATTAAAATAATTGAATGACAAGTACTACTCGAAATTGTTAAATTGTCATGTACATGTACTGTGGTACATGTATTAAAATCTATCGAAGTCTATTCTCAAAGTTTCAAATAAAACATGGAGATTATTGAAAAATTATTCACTGTTTCTTGAATTCACGGATTTGTTATCACCGTGAATACACGAATATTAACACCGCGAGTTATTTTCCCCCTATACAGTAAAACTTTGATTCCCTATTGTGCCCATCCTCCTCCCCTGGGGATCATGATTTGTATAATTTAAAATATACACTACCCCAGGATGCATCCATGTAAGTTTCAGCTTTTCTGGACTAGTGGTTTTTGAGAAGGAGATTTTTAAAGATTTTCCTATATATTTCTACCTAAAACTTTCTTTCCTTTTTGTGGCCCCGCCCAACCCCCAGGGGTCATGATTTGAACAATTAAGAATCTACACTGTTTCCATGTCATTTCAGCTTTTCTGGCCCAGTGGTTCTTGGGAAGAACATTTTTAATGACCCCAAACTATTTTAGTCTTTTTCTGAATTTTCTCCCCTTGATAGAGGACTTGGCTCTTTATTTTAACCATTTAAATTCCGCTTTACCCAAGGATGCTTTGTACCAAGTTTGGTCTTCGGCTCAGGTGAGCTAAAAAGAGTTGGGCTGAGAAACCTTCTACTCATCATCTACTTGTTCTCAGTAAGAGTAAATCAATACATATTCATTAAAATGTTTTTCGAAAGATACAATTGCAGTAAACTAGATATCATTGAGATGGTGGCCATCTCAAAGGGCACCGCTTTCAAGAATGAACATGAAAATGCAAGGTAGTTTAAAAGGGTTTATTTTGAACAGAAACATTTGTGTAATACAGTAAAAATCATTTAGGATGACTTCACAGATATTGCGAATTTACAGATATATATAGAAGTTATTGTGTATCCCCAGTTATATAAATTTACTGGAATTAAAGAGAAAAAATTATGCACCAAACAAAGATTTGAAACAGAGAGGCTAATTCTGACCATGACCTAGAAACTTTGACCAAGGTCACTGCGCATCCATTGACCAGTGGAACTCTGCGAGTGAAGTAATAGCCAGATTGGGCCAAGGAGAGAGAAGATATGCTTCGGACAAGGATTTTTCATAAAATTTTCCTATAACCTCGACCTCTAACCTAGAAACATGGTTCAAAGTCACTGCACATTTGTTACCCAAAGGCACTATGTGGGTGAAGTATGAGCCAGTTTTGGGCCAAGGAGAGAGAAGATATGCTCCAGACAAGAATTTTATGAATTAAATTCAGCTTTGACCTTGACCTTTGACCTAGAAACATGGTTCAAGGTCAATGCACACCGGTTTCCCAAAGACACTCTGTTGGTGAAGCATGAGCCAGATTGGGCCAAGGAGAGAGAAGATATGCTCCGGTGAATTTTCATAAAATTCTGCTATGACCTTGACTTTTGACCTAGAAACATGGTTCAAGGTCACGGCATATTCGTTACCCAAATGCACTCTGTGGGAGAAGTATGAGCCAGATTGGGCAAAGGAGAGAGAAGATATGCTCCGGTCAAGGGATCTCGGACAGACAAACGGACAGCGGTACGGATGGAGAGACAGATCACTATAGGGCACCCACCAAGCGGGGCCCTTATTAAATTCCCTCCATTACTAAAATCTAAGTCCAGAATTTTTGTTTTAAAATACATTTTTTTTTTCAAATTCCATTCACTGAGTCACTCAGGTGACCTATTGCTATCTGTTTTTGTCCGTCATCGTGCATCGTGTGTTAAGATTTGAACATTTTCAGCTTCTTCTCTGAAACCACTGAACCGATTTCAACCAAATTTGGTATAAAGCATCTTCGGGGAAACAAAAATTGTGAATTTATAGTACCCCCTCCCCCTGGGGCCTGAGGGGTGGGGCCAAAACCTTTAAAATTAATGAAATCTTTAAAAATTTTCTTCTTTACTCCTGGACATCAAGCAGACAAACTGTTGGCATGAATGTAATGAGCACTGAGTCGTCTACCAAATTTGTGAAATCCATGGCCCCAGGGTCGGGGTTCTAGTGCTAGGGATGGGCTATATAGATTATGTAGAGAAAATGCATTAATTCTTTGAAAACCTTCTTCTCTGCTTCTGGGTATTAATTAAACTAACTAAGTACATAGTTATGATTAGCAAGAGTACCTCTACCAAAAGTGTTAATTTTATGGCCCCAGGGTCAGGGATTTTGGTGTTAAGGGTTGGTTCTATTGATTATATTGTGAACATTAATTTTTTGAAAATCTTCTTCTCTGCTTCTGGGTATTAAATAAACTAACTAAGTAAATAGTTATGATTAGCAAGAGTGCCTCTATCAAAATGTAGAATCGTATGGCCCAGTGGTCAAGGGTTCTGGTGCTAGGGCTGGACTATATAGATTATATAGTGAAGATGCAAGTACAGAGTTATGATGAGCAAGAGTGCCTCTACAGAAATTGTGAATTTTATGGTCCCAGGGTCAGGGATTCT